GACGTCCCGCGCGCCGTGGGGGGGGAGGGAACGGTCATGCGCCGCTGTCGAGGAGGACGAAGACGAGGACGGCGACGACGCCGACGACGAGAACGAGGACGAGGACGAGGACTACTACGACGTCGACGGCGAGGACGACGACGACCACGACGACGACGCCGGCGACGACGACGACGAGTTCGACGAGTACGACGACGACGACGAAGACGAGGACGAGGACCAGGACGATGACGATGATGGATGAGAAGGGGAAGGAGGAGAAGGAGGAGGAGGAGGAAGAGGAGGTGGAGGAGGAGGATATGGAGGAGGAGGAGGAGGATGAGGAGGAGGAGGAGGAGGAGGGGGAGGTGGAGGAGGGCGTGAAGGAGAAGGAGGAAGAGAAGACGAGGGGACGGATGGGGTGGAGGAGGAGGAGGACGACGAGGTGCCCTATGCTCAAATTTTGTGGGGTGGCCTGGGTAGTGATAGGGGAACCCAAATATTGAACCGCATGCGTTGGACGAGGGATGGCCTACGCCGGTCAGAAGTCACCTTCGGCATACGTGTGAATCTGCGTGTTACAAGAGTGCGCTTGGTTGGACCATCGTTTACGACATGGTGTGCAATCGTACGGGCATTCTGTTGGTACAGACCGAGTTCAAGGTTGGCACGGCCATCTGTATTCAGAGTACAGATCGAATGCGTCTTCTTGTGACGGATAGGCGTGCGTGGTTTAGACCGGTGGTGGAGCCAGTTGTCTGTGTAGAGGTGCAGGCAAAGAAGCGACAAAGTGCGTTGAAGCATCGGTTACAAAGAGCGTTTCGGTCCAGGCTCGCGGTGGGGTTCGGGATCATGGCACTCTGACGAATAGGTTTATTACCATGAGTCGGGATGGTGCCCTGGTCAGTGGCATGTCGCATGTGGAGCTCCGGAGGTTGCGAACAGTGACTGGTCGAATGGCTGGGCATCCTGGCCGCGGAGCCAGCATCACCCTGTACGTGGCCACGCAGAAAGATGCGAGCTACGATCCAATGTTTGACGCTGCGATCTCGCCCATGCTCGCGCAGCTCAGGGCGATGTGGGAGCACTGCGAAGGTCTCGGAGGCATCGAAGTGGGGTGGCGGAATGTTATCAACAACGTGATTAGATGGTAAAGTGCAAGAGCTCCTCTTGCTGTGGTATACCTCTCGTTGCTGTCATTTGGATGGGAGATGGTATCTTCCATGGGCGATATTGGAAATCGCTCGTCGTTTCTGTATACGTCACCAAATTGCATGAAAAGGTTGCCCAGACTGGGCATTCAAAGGTTGTGCTTGCGACGCACTCTTGAGCACCGCCCGACGGCAGGGCCTGGGCTTGAAGTTTGGGCGCGTTGTCTTCGGTTCTGCGCCGTGAGTTTTCGGCTGCCGCGGTCAAGCCGCACTCGGCGGCGGGAGCTTTAAGAGCGTTGTGGTCTCGATCGCTCTGGACCATTCCCCAGCTAACTGACTGCGGCAGGGTTAGCGATGCGTCGCGCAAAGGTTGCGCGAAGGTTTATGAGCACATGGGGCGCAGTTGCATGGAGTTCTCAGCAGTGATCAGCAACGCGGAGGAGTCCAATGAAGGGCGCCTTGTGCTGGAGGAGCTGGGTGAATTTTGTGAGAAGGTGATGGCCCGCGGCGCCATGTTGCAGGATATTGGCGCGCGGGGGCCTCTGTTGTTTTGCTTCTGGGCCGCCGCCGCTTGCCGCCCTGCCAGGGGTGCCAGGTGGGCAGTCCCCCGCCTGTCTGTGTGTCTGCTGGGATGACCAAGGTGGAGATGATAGAAGGTTTTTGTTTTTCCACAGCTGGTTCGGCGAACCCTTCTTCAGATCCAGCGTTGCGATGGCGTGGGCGGGCAGTCGTGGAGACGTCGCAGCCCGGGCACCCCTTGCGCGCCGCGCGCGGAGGGCTGCCTTAACGCGAGCAATCGTCCCGCGCAGCAGAGAGGTTAGCGATTATGTCGACCCTTTCGGTTGTTCGAGGGCGTGAAGACGATTGGCTCAGACGCGCAGGCGCTGGTCAAATAAGGCGGTCTTTGGCGCGCAGCTGACGAAAGTGCCGATGAGACGCGCGTCGGAGTTGTGCGATCTATTCGCCAGCAGTTAGCCTTTTCTACAGTGGAGGTCCCCGGTGTGGAGCGGTGCCCATCGCGCTCGGACTTTGTGAACGCGGCGAGAGGTCGTTGCCATCCTGGCCTGCGTCCGACGCCGGTCTCGGGCAACAGTTGGGCCGGCAGCGTCGCCGAGGCGGGTGCGAAGAGCATGGCCGCATCGACGGGGCATTCTATGTTCGCTCAGCTAGCGCCCAACCCATCGCGGCTGATTGCAAGGCGCCCCAGCCGGGCGCCAACGAAACATTTCGGCGGCAATTGCGGGTGCAAAAACGCGACCGTGTGGGAAATCAGCCATGCGAGCGGTTGGTGCTGCATGAACGCCATGTTCTTCTTCCGCACTCTGAGCGAGGGGCGGCGGCGTCGGCGCGGCGCAGTTGCCCCGCGCGCTCGGGCGCATCTGGATGATTCGAAGCGCAGTGTCAGATGTCACCGCGTGCCCACCAAGTTGCAACAGTCGGCGATGGAGGCCTACGTTGCTCGATTGGAGGCGCCAGCCACTGAGCGATGCAAACCGAGGCGGCGGAGGTGGCGCTCGAAGCTGCATATGCCGTTCTGGAGGCAGCGGGCGATCCAGTCGTTCAGGTTCCTGCGGCTGACCCTCGACTGGCGGCGCGCGCGATGTTTAGCGGGCAAGCGCGTGCCCCCGCCTGGGCTGGCAACGCGGCGGCGCGCTGATTGTTCAAACGACATCGGCGGCAATATGACGAAGCCCAAGTTGACTTGCCAAGACCTTGCGGCCGGCGCGAAGAAGAACAGCGCGCAGAAAAAGAAAAAAAAGAAAAAAAAAAAAAAAAAAAAAAAAAAAAAAAAAAAAAAAAAAAAAAAAAAAAAAAAAAAAAAAAAAAAAAAAAAAAAAAAAAAAAAAAACACCCCCCAAGGCTTCTTCAGGAAGTCCGGTGAAGGCGCGGTGCTGGCCGACCCCCTGGTCCGACCTGGAGATGCGTCGCTGGGCGGCGGGCGCGGTCTGGCGGGCCCGGCAGCGGGGCCCCGAGCTCCTTCGGGGGAACAGGGCAGGGCGGGGAAAAGACAGCTGGGGAGACAGCCAGGCGGCGCGCATGGGCAGGCTGCTCCAGCTCAAAGGCGATGCCTTTGGGAGGCCAGGTTTGATCGGGATTGGTGGTGTATTTCCGTAGGCGGTGTGGTCCCGCCCCTCTGGCACCAGTCTTCGGCGGCGAATTTTGACTCCGCGGCGCAGGCCGGGCGGCCCCTCCCCATCGGGTCGCCGCCCTTGCGCAGTTCATTGTCGGAGCACTGCTGGCGTGGTCCCGCTCCTCGGGCCGCCAGCGCGGACGATCGGCATCGTTTTCCGCGTCGTGACTGGCGCGGCCCCGCCTTTCGGGTCGCTTCTCTCGGCCTGGCGCATCGCAGCTGGCGTGCTGCTGGAGTGGCCCCGCCGCGCGGGTCGCCAGTCCTGGCGGGTGGCTATATTCCTGAGTACCGCCTTGCTCCATGGGGCGCCAGCGCCTGGCGCGGTCCCGCCCATGGCGTTGCCAAGCTGAAGATGAGCACTGCTGGCGTGGCCCCGCTCCTCGGGGCGCCAGAGCTCGGCGTGGCCCCGCCCCTCGGGTCGCCAATTTGCAGATGCTGGCTGTGCCGCGTGTTTTTTTTGAGGGCGATGCGCTGTGCGTGAATGCTTCCTGCCCACGCACGCAGTCTCCGACCTATTCTGGTCTGCGGGGCGCAAGTTCGATGCGTCGGGCCCACGCTATGTTATGGCGCGCGCGCGAACTGAACTCGACAGGCGCGGTCGACCCGGCGACGCCTGGTCGAGGATCAGCTCGGCGAGCCAGGAGGAGGATGAGGAGGAGTAGGAGGAGGGGAAGGAGGAAGAAGAGGAGGAAAAGGAGGAGGACGACGACGAGAGGAGCGGGAGGATGAGGAGGAGGAGGGCGACGGGGAGGTTGACGAGGAGAGGGAGGAGGAGGAGGTGGGGGCGGTCGAGGAGGTGGAGCAGACATTGGCCGCGTCAGGATGACCCAACGGCCGAGAGAGAGAGAGAGGCACATATATATATATATATATATATATATATATGTATGCATATATGTATATATACACACATTTGTATATGTGTACATATATATATATGTATGCATATATATATATATAAGGAGAGAAAGAGAGCGAGAGAGAGGGAGATAGAGAAAGTGAAAACACAATCAAGAAACAAAACAACAGGTGGAGCAGCAGGAGGAGGCGGAGGAGGAGGAGGCTGTTCCCCCTCTCTTTTCTCGTACCTCCTGATGTTTTCTGATCCACCTGGCGGTGGCCAAGGGAGTCTCACGGGAGCAGCAGCCGCGGCTCGAGGCTCGAAGGTAGCGCAGGCCAGTCCTGGTTCTGAGCGCGCGCTTGCCGCGCACGACCCCGACCCTCAGCTTGGAGCCGCCACGCCGCGCGCAAACATGGTCTGACCGCCGCCTGTACAGTTTGCCCGGCGGCGCCCCGCTTCGGCAAGTGACGTGGGGAGCGTTCGCCAGCGCTGCGATGGAAAAGTGCTGCGCAAGCAAAAGCGGGAACTGTGCACGCTGGAGGAGGAGGGGGAGAAGAGAGATAATGACGTGCGAGGTGAACAGTAGCATGAGCAGGAAGACGGGGAGAACGAACAGGTGATGGATAATACGAGGTGGGGCAGCAGCGGGGGCAGGAGTTGGCGGAGCGGGAGGAACAGGCTGACAGGGGAATGCGTAATGGGGGGCGCCACCGACGACGACCAGAGCGGATGCATCCAGAAATGTGGCCCAGGCTCGGCCGAGTATGTTGTTAGCGACGGGGGCAGCGCGCCGATCCCGAAGCTTTCTGCCAGCGCCGCAGCGGGAGCGACACCATACAAAACATACCATAGTATATATCGTGATAGAGCGTTCCAGAAAACGCTCTCGATGTCGAGG